CCTGTCCCGGGGGGCCACATGGGCTGTAAGGGGGTGCGCCTTGGCCTAATGGGCCAAGGGCACCAGCCCCACTAGGCCCATGCGCCTAGGGTTTCCAAGGGGGAGGAGTCCTACTAGTGGAAGGCACCTCCTAGGTGCCTTGGGGGGGAGGGAAACCCCCTAGGCCGCCGCACCCCCTAGGAGATTGGATCTCCTAGGGCCGGCCACCCCCCCTTGGCACCCCTATATATAGTGGGGGAGAGGAGGGACTTCATACCTTGAGTCCTTGGCCTTAGGTTGCCTCCTTCTCCCTCCCCAACACCTCCTCAACCTCCATAGCGCTTAGCGAAGCTCTGCCGGAGTACTGCAGCTCCATCAACACCACGCCGTCGTGCTGCTGCTGGTGCCATCTCCCTCAACCTCTCCTCCCTCCCTTGCTGGATCAAGAAGGAGGAGACGTGGCTGTTCCGTACGTGTGTTGAACGCGGAGGTGCCGTCCGTTCGGTGCTAGGATCTCCGGTGATTCGAATCATGTCGTGTTCGACTACATCATCCCCGTTCTTTGAACGCTTCCGCTCGCGATCTACAAGGTATGTAGATGCATCTATTCACTCGTTGCTAGATGAACTCCTAGATGATCTTGGTGAAACGAGTAGGAAAATTTTTGTTTTCTGCAACGTTCCCCAACATGCACTACTTCATGGGCAGTGACCACGCTTTCCAGAATGTATCTGCCTTTAAGGAAGGCAGATTGGTTACTGGCAATAAGCCTCTGGAGAATTCTAGACAGCCTATTGGTGAGGACCTTAGTAAAAATTTTGAAACTACAGTTAAGTAAGCTGATGGGTCTAAACTTCTTCATGGAAGTAGCATCAGGTTCCTTAGGAATGAGGGAGAGCATGGCAAAGTTGAGTCTATGTATGTCCAACTCCCCCTTATGAAAATCGTTAAACATGGCTATAAGATCCACTTTGATCACCTCCCAAAAATGTTGGTAAAAGAAGAAAGGAATCCCATCTGGTCCAGGGGCACCATCAGGGTAGGAGTCAAAGACTGCTTTCTTAATCTCTTCTTCAGTAAAAGGTGATACTAGGGCCTCATTCTCTGCAGGTGTGACTAATTCCTCTGCAGAGAAAAAACCAGAGCTCAGTGTGAAGCCACTATTGTGCTCTTTTTTAAACAAATATTTATAGAAGTCTTCAGCTACACCAAGCATATCTCTAATATCATTAACAGGCCCATTAGGGCCGTCTAAGGAGTGAATGAGGGTTTTCCTCCTCCTTTGATTAGCCACTGCATGGAAGTATGCAGTGTTTCTGTCTCCTTCTTTAATATCTCTATCTCTAGATCTCTGCTTAGCTTTAGTTTCTTCCTGTAGCCAAATTTTCTGGAGTTCAGTATGAATAAATTTCATTCTGTTGAACTCCCTTTCAGAAAGATCAGAGGTTTCAGATTTGACATCTAAATTGTCAAACTCCTCCACTAAGATTTTTTTATATCTTCTAAGATTAGCCTCTTCATTGGAGTTCCAGCCTTTAGTGATTCTCCCGAGGCTCCTAACCTTGATCTGCCAATTATCTATGCTAGTTATGGCATTGTTAGGTTCAGACCAAATTTTGCGAATAAGATCAGAAAAATCAGCTCTAAGCAGCCACCATTTTTCCATCTTATAACTACTTTTCCTAGGTTGGACATTAATCCCAGAATCCCAAAGGAGGGGTGTGTGGTCACTACCACATCTAGGTAAAGATATACATGTAGCTAGAGGAAAAAGAGCATCCATGTCAGTATTGCAGAAGAGTCTATCAATAGTAGACATGATGAGGTCCACTTGGTTGTTAGCCCAAGTGAATTTTCTGCTAGAGAGCTTGATCTCCAGCAGTCCCCAGATCTCAATCCAGGCATTGAAATTATTGCTCCATCTATGATTGATTACTCCATTACTTTTTTCTTTAGCATTCCTAACTAAATTAAAGTCCCCTCCAATCAGGGTGGGCAAGTGATTGTCTACAAACAAAGAGTGTAGCTCAGAAATAAAAACTGCCTTGCCTTCCTCACAAGAGGAGCCATATACTACAATTACCCTAAAAATATGACCCAGGGCTTTGTGCTTTAGCTCACAACTGACCGAAAATTTTAAGTGTGACCAGGAGATCACCTCAAAGACATCTTGCTCCACTCCCACCAGGATGCCCCCAGTAGTGCCTGTGGCCGGGAGGTGATGCCAGGCAAAATCCCTATGCCCTGTTAAAGATTTAAGGTAGGAAGGGGAGAACTCTTCCTTTTTGGTTTCCTGAAAACCAATGATATTGGCATGGGTTTTGGCTAAAGTGTCTAAAATGAGAGGCTTTCTGCCTGCAGCTGAAATACCCCTAACATTCCAGAATAAGGCATTCATTTAATCACTTCTGTCCTGGGGTGCTTGCCCCGCCTATTCTTCCTAACTAGTGACCAGAGACCCTCATTAGGGCTTGATGGTGGGTCAGGGGTCAATATTGCAGGTTCAGACACATGACCTTCAGTCATGGTCTGATGTTTGCTTAGACCCACCACAGTGTGTGAAGAGGACATACTAGATCCTTGTCTTGGATCAACCTCTACACCAATGCTAGAGGCAATTGAAAGGAAAGCAGAATCATAAAACATGTTAAAAGAATTTTGATTTTTACCATGTGGTTTCTGGATCTCCAAGTTCTGGACTTCCTTGAGTTGCTGGGCTTTCTCCATGATGGTCCTCTTGTCACCAGCAATCCTTGAGCTTGTCCTGGCAGCTTGGACAGGGCCCCACTTCTTGGTGTCAGCAGCAGTGTTCATGGCAGGGAAATCAATCTTATATTGCTCTTCAGGTTGATTATTTTCAGTGGTGGCCTCCAAAACTTCATTCTCATCATCATTAGTCTCAATCTCATCTTCCCCTACCAGTTCCATTTCCCTCAACAGGTTGAATCCCACAGAGTCACCTTGCTCTGAATTGAGCAATTGTTCAAGAGCTTGAATCCTGGGTAGGTACTGAGATTCAGGCGGTTGATTCAGGCAGTTGGTTCATATATATCTGTATGATGAAAACACACACGATAAAAGACACCCTAGGTTGTTGATACATGCGTGTGTTGTTGGTCTTGAGGTATACCATGATGTTTGTACTGCTCAAAGTGGTGCCTTTGTTGCTTAGAGGTTGAATTTTTTTATCTTGATGATGCAACTGTATATGTGTATATGATGCATGTCATGCAACAATGTTGTACGTTTAAAAAAACATCATGCTGTTTGTACTGCTCAAAATGGTGCCATTGTTGCTTTAGAGGCTGGAAAAGAGGAGAGTGGTGTTCTTTATGGCAATGGGCAGATACATTTCACCCAACATATCAGGTACTAGGAAAAAATGTAACCAAGGTAAATATGGGAAATTCATGAATCAATCTCTGTGTAATCAATATATGATTTTGTTACTGAATGTGCATGACCTCCAGGCTTACCAAAACACCCTCTATAGCATTTGTCAGATGTTGCATTACTCCATGAACGAGCCTATGATATAGAAGATGATTAATTGTCATATCTCCTTCTGGATAAAGAAACTGCATAAATTGTTCAAACTAGAAGATGATACTGTTCAAACTAAAGTTGAGACACTTATTTTGGGACGGAGGGAGTACTGCAGTATCTCTATTGGTTTTTGAATTCAGGTTGATTCCCAACATATTTTTGAACAAATTTCAGATATCACAGACAAATGATTTATTTTCTGGGTCAAAAGAAAGAAAAGATCGTGACATCATCTCTCAAAAGCTGGATGATCATGACATCGAAGGGGCGATTCATCTGTATTACAACATCATCTCTCAACCTTGTTTGATCTTCAAAAAGATCGTCAATTTCTACACTAAAAGCTGGGAGGTCGGGCAAGTTCCTTGTGATGCTCCAAAGGGAGGAGGCACCAGTGATGACACAAAGGTTGAGCCACAACATTGAGGAGCTCCTTCAAGCCTCTGGACCAGAAACGGCAACCTGAGATTGGTCCCTGTTGTTTCTTCTTGCGGCTGTAGTTGTCACCTTGTAAGTACTGCTCCAATGTAAAGGAGCTCTCCCCTTTGGTCGGGAAAAAAGATGCAGCAGAGCGGTCGCCGTCGCTGCTGTTAATTTGTTGCCGCTGTTATTGTAGCCTTATGACTATTGCAGGGATGTATACCTACCGGGTGGCTCGTCGCGGCAGAAGATACGGCAGGAATTCGATACACAAACACCAAGAAAATATCAGCAGACTTTTCTTACAGCGGTGCAACCACATGCTGTAATGTTTGCAGTACAAACGAGAATAAAAGTTTTCGTTGCAGGCTACGGTGTTCCCTGTGTGTGCTCTGACGGTCTGATGGGCATCTGCAGTATATCTTCTGAATTTGCGGTTGCCGCTTCGCCGTACCTCTTGAATTTGTGATTGTTTTCTGCTGTGCCGTCTGTGAAAGTCTAGAATGCATCAGGACTTTCACTCGGTCTGTGGTCGGGGACTTTGTATTTCTGTTATTCAGTTAATAATGCCCGGTTCAAAAAACGGAAAGAAACTAGAATGCAGGAGTTGAGCACCAAGACCACTGTGCGAACAACCCCGGCCGCACGCATGAAGTCATATGCACAGGTTAGAGTGGTTTCAACACCCAGCGACCACACACACAAGGGAAAGGATGTTTGCCACGACAAAATAACAGTTGAGTACGTTGTGTGTGCGACATAAAATCGGCTCGCCTGATCCTGGCTCGTGTGACGCTTCCCCTGAAAACCTGGTGAAACTAAAGGTGAATCTCGATCTAGAATATCTAGACTCAGGAGCCAGTGGACTTCCCGTTCGGGGAGGTTGAGCGACCCCATCGGGGTCCCTAACCACCTGAAACCCAAACGGGACACCCACCACTGGCACTGTCTGCCTGTATATAGCCCGGGACCAGACATCAGCAGAGCCACCGGCCGGCCTTGTCGTTGTCGTGGTGGAGGCCGGGATCCATTCAATCGACCACGCGAGAGTGTTCATGTCGAAGAGGACGGTGCTGCGGGTGGACACCTCCTGCGCCAAGTGCAAGCGCAAGGTCATGCTCGCCGTCTCCAGCCTCCAAGGTACGTTTGGATCAGATCGCATGGCCAAACTGGCAACGAGGCCATGCATTTCTTGCTTGGTTAACTGTTGCTCTTACGTGCTGTGCCCAGGTGTGGACAAGATCGAGATCGACTCGGAGAAGGGCACGATGACGGTGACCGGCGGCGTGGACCCGGTGGACGTGGTGGAGGCCACCAGGAGGAAGGCCGGGAAGCGCGCTGACGTCCTCACCATCGGCCCGCCGCCGTCCGCGTCGGCCGCGTCCAAGCCGGAGGAGAAGAAGAAGCCCGAGCAGCAGCAGAAGCCGCAGCAGACATATGTGGCGGCGGAGAGGAGGACGCCTGAGCCGCCGGTGACGCTGTACGTGCACCACGTCCCGCCGCCGCCGCCGTCGTGGCCCGCGTACGAGCAGTGCGCCGTCGTGCCCTACCACTACCAGCAGCAGCAGGACCCCTGCTCCATCATGTAGCTAGCTAGTTAATCGTCTCTTCGTGCCATCGTTATCTGAATCGTAGTACTACTAATTCATACTATGTACGTAGGTAATTCAACCCCGGATCGATACCTCTGCGCACTAGCATCCCACGGTGATTTTCCTTCGAGAGAATTAGCTGAACTTTCTGAATAAATACATAATGTTATTTTTTTGACAAAGGAGATATATTAATATTACGGATATATCAATTACATCCAGCCTCTGCAACAACGCAATACACAAATGACACTACGGATGCACATAATATTATGGAAAAGCTTCAAATCAATGGACGGGTCCTTGATTTTGCGTCGACCGCTTCCTCCGTTTGCCACGCGTCCCTGTGGACCCAACTACCTCCATTTCTTCTACTTATCTCCTCATGCGACGGCCGCAGCCACAAAGTATTCTTCCCAGCGGGCGGCGCCCTCTACCCACACCCTCGCTCACTGCCCTATCCCGCGTCATGCCGGGACGCTCTCCGGCCACCGCGCGTCATCCATCGCAACCCCGTCACAACCTAGATCTGCCGGCCCAACCACAGGTGCGGCCCAGCCCCATCCACAGCCGCGGTCACCGACAACGTGTGACCAGTCACCGCAACCTGCATTTCTCCATGTGTTCACCAGCTTCTCCCTTGACGACTCCTTCCCATGGATTCGCACATGGAGCGTGCAACCACACCCTGCCTCCAGATTGCAACATCTGACCACAACATGGTCCATGTTGCAATAGGTAACCGCAATATAGTCCATGTTGCAATATGGATGTTCATAGGCCCATGTCACACAATGGATGACCAAAGCCCATATCATACAAGATGGAGGTCACCACAACATGGTCCATGCTGCAATGGGTGATCAAAGGCCCATGTGACGCGAGCACAACAGTGGCTGGGTCTGTTGATGCGACGAAGGTTGACATACCTTGCATCACCAATCTCAAGGAGGAGTTTATCAATAGGGTTACTTGTGTGGTCTACTTGGGACCCCCAAAGCCCTTGCGGGTGGAGGAAGATGGTGTGTCTCACACATAGCGATGTAACAGGCATAAAAAACAAGGTGGGCAATATTCGACAACCGAGTGCACGGAACATGACTTGATGGAGGCTTTTTGGGAGTTGCGGGAGGTTAACACAGAGGAAGGGGATAAGCACAAGATGAAGGCCGACTTGAATTTGTACAGAAAGTTGTTTCATCGCAAGCAATCGGGGCAATTCACGCTTTGGTGGACATCGTCGATAAGTCGAAGGTCGACACTGCAAAATATTAGTCCATGTTGATTGGATGCAGGGCGGTCATTGAGTCTCAGCGTGGGTAAGATCTCTTGTGAGTACGGTGGTCCTTTTGGTTACATGAGTTGCAAGCGCTCTAACTGAGATGTTCCTTGATTTGCGAAACGCTATCCTCAAGCTCTATTTTGTGTGTGTGTGTATTTCGTGTTTGAATGATTTTTCTCAGTTTTAGAGATGTATGGTTTTTGTATGTAGTTTTCCTTACTATTTGAACCAACGCTTTCCTTAATGCAATTGCGAGGCAAGGTTTTCGTAAAAATAAAATAAAACTAAAAATAAAAATTGGCGCAGCTCCACCTGCACTCTTTTTTTTTGAGGGGAACGTTGCTGATTTATTTAGTGCTCCAAACCTCCATCAGAGGCTAAGTCCGAGCTTACAAAATCCGGCGCACGTGACACCATACATGACATAACGATCTACATCAACCTTCCCTAGCAAGTCTATGCACAACTTTGTTTGCGGAACGCCGAACCCATCCGACTTTGCATTCTTGAAATTGAGTTAGCAGTTCCTTGATTTCTTGGACAATCTGCCCGCTTGCCGATAGGTCTTTCTGCATGTTATTGACCTTCCCTACCGCAGACAGTGAGTCCATCTCGACCACCACCTTCTGAGCTTCATGTTCTTGAGCCAGTAGAATCCCTTGCCGACACGCCAATAGCTCCGCAAGTTCTGGATCTGCAGCAACTGGGAAAAAATGACACGTTCCTGCCACGAACGCGCCATGATGGTCCCTGAGGACCGCTCCACCTCCTCCCGATCCATCCTACTTTGCAATCGCTCCGTCCGTGTTCACCTTCACCCAGCCGTCGTCAGGTTTCGCCCAAACTTTCATGGTTCGCTGAGCTTGGGGTCTCCTTAGGGGTCTCTTTGATTGACTGCCACTCCTCATCCAGGCGGAGTTGATCGGCCACGGTTTTGGTCCTCCGACAAAAAAACTTGATAAATCACCTTTTGATTAGCCCAAAAAAGTATTTAAATGTCTTTTTTATGCGGGAAAAGTATTCAAATGTTCTGGGAAGATGCTATCCCGGACTTTATTTCTCATCATTTGATAAATCACCTCCGATCTCGCTATTATTTGAGAAATAAAGTTTTTGCCTTGTAAAAAAAAACGCGACAAAGCGTGGTGCTAGTGTAGACGAAGCAGTATTCCTCGGTGACGAAGCTACAGTTATTTCCAGACTATACGGTGAAGTTACAGTTTTTTATTTTTTATTTTGCGGGGATGAAGCTACACAGTTGACTCTTCTTCCTCTTCCGGCGATGTCGAGCTCGTGGCCGGCGAGTCAGCGGTTGAGGAAGCCGCTGATGGCCCTGTCCTGCGCGGCGGCCTCGTCGCAGCCCGGCTCCAGCAGGTGGAACCTGTGCCCCTTGCCCGGCGCCTGCCACATCTCCGCCTGGCCACGCCACCCGCTGTTCACGAGCCGGTCGTAGTAGGCGCGGCCGCGGTCGCGGAGCACGTCCGCCCCGGCGACGCACACGAGGACGCGCCCGCAAGCCAGGGCCTCGAGGCCCGGCGCGCCGTCCGCGAGCGGGTTGATGAGCGGGTCGTCCTCTCCCGCTGCGGCCGGGCACGCGACGCGCCACAGCCTCCCGAGCCGCTCCCGCATCGCCGGGTCCAGGCCGTCTGAGCCCACCTCGTCGCTCCCTAGGAAGTAAGGGTGTACCAGGACGAGGCCGCGGACGCTGGCCCCCGCCCGCATGGCTATGTGGTGCGCGATGTTGGCCCCGGCGCTGTCGCCGCTGAGGTAGAGGAGGGAGAGGTCGGCGTGGCGGGCGAGCCACGGATCCGGCTCGGCGCCGGCGCTGGCGGCGGCCTGTGAAAGGACCCAGGCGACCGCGTCCCACGAGTCCGCGTACGCGGCGGGGACGGGGTGCTCGGGTGCGAGGCGGTACTCGACGGAGACGACGAGCACGTTGGCGTAGGCGGCGAAGGCGTTGAGGTAGGCGTGGTAGGTGGAGTCGAAGGCGGAGAAGAGGCAGAACCCGCCACCGTGGTAGTAGACGAGGACAGGGAGCGTGCCGTCGGCGGCGTCCAGGCGGGGGAGGTAGAGGCGCGCGGAGACGTTGGGGGAGATGGCGGTGTCGCGGGAGGCGACCCCGGTGGCGGCGTCGGTGGAGACGGCGACGAACTCGGAGCCGACCAGGTAGCGCTCCACGCGCCTCCTGTAGACGCGGAGGCGTGGCATGGACTCGTACAGGATCTCTTCGTCGGCGGCCGTGGCCGCCGGGGGCACGGTGGGCGGCGCGGCGGACATGGCTGGTGCAGTTGGAGTTTGGGCTGATCAAAGTGATGGATGGCTCCGGTAGTATATATTGTAGTAGCAACTACCACTGTGATCTCATCAACTCGCCGAGAAGTTACTGGTTTCATAATTTAAGTTTGTCAGCTGATGGAAATGTCAGGCAATTTCTACTGCCAAACTTCAACTACTTGAAGCCAAAGCTAGCTTAGGTCCAGATAATTAACAGTGTTTAGCTGTCCAGAGAGATAATTTCTACATTCAAACTTCAGTTTCTACTGTCAAATTTTTCTTCAACCCAAAGCTATCCAGATATCATTTTTTGTGGAGTGAAGATATCATAATATTATATTGATTAGCTGTTTCGTGTAGACGAGGTGTTCTTGTTTGACTCGTGTTCTCCGCTGAGCTCAGAGCAAGCGAAGGAGCCCTGTTTTTTTTAGGGAAAGCTTACTTATTAATCAAATGACGTATATATTGTCTGCTAGTAGACTCACAATAAAATCAGGAGGGGTATCAATCCAACGAGATGGATTATTAGCATGTCCCCATCTAGCCAGCTCAGCTTATGAGTTACATAATTTGACTCTCTAAATGCTTAATAGTAAACCTCCCGAAATCTACTAGATAACTACGACATTCATCAAGAACCGGCGCTGCCATCATAGAATAACCTTCATTGAATCTAAGTGCATTCACCACTGTGATATTATCCGATCTCACCAGCAAGTTATTGCATCCCGTATCTCTTGCTAGCTTCAGTCCTTCAAGCACAGATGCCGCTTCTGCCGTGAACACATCGACCACATGTTCTAATCTCGCCGTGGACGCCGACATGAAAGATCCCCGGTGATCACGGATGACAGCACCATAAGACCCAACATAATCGCCCTCTGTGAACGAAGCATCGACATTAAGGACAAGTTGTCCTACTAGGAATGTCGGCCACCTGTCGATCTTGGTGTAGATTTAGCTTGCGCTCCGCGCACATAATTAATCACTGGGGCAACCACCGCCGGCGCTGTTCGTTCTGGAGTCAATATTTCTTCCCCTCGTACGAACTGTCTTCTTTGCCACCATAAGAACCAACAAACTGTTGATATGAGCTCTGGTAGCTCGACCAATCAAGAATATTATCGTCGATAAGAATCATCACATAAAATAAACTCCAAGACTGCTGAACCTGCTCGATCAGCCAATGAAGCAAAGTTAATATCTGCTGCGATTCCCAAAGCTTCCCAAACTGCTTGCGCCCTTGCACACTTAAACAACATATGGGATAAGTCCTCCGTACCATCTGTACTGTATGGACATTGGGACAAGTTTCCAACATGGCGATTCATAAGAGTACTCCGGCATGGGATGGCATTGTGCAAGCATCTCCAGATATAAATTTTAACTTTCGCTGGCACTCTCAAACTCCACAACTTCTTCCAAACTGGATGGGGCGCCATGGAGAAGCGGGCCAGACCGTTGTCATCTGTATCATAATTCACTTCCCACTGCTTATAATAGGCAGAACGTACTGAAAAAATGCCGCTCCTCGTGAGATGCCATGCAACATAGTCCTCTCTCTCCACATGGAATAATGGGATTTGTAGTATGCGTTCAGCATCAATGTGCCAGAAATTCTCCCGGATTAACATCTCATCCCATTCTTCCGTGATTGGGTCAATTAACTCATTCACTTTAGTAAGTACTTGGTTCCCCCTTACTGTTAAAACTTTTTTGAAGGCACTGTTCGGGATCCAACAATCATCCCATATATTAATCTTTTCTCCATTGCTTACTCTCCAAATGTAACCCTTCTTGAATGTTTGAATTCCAAACCAAATGCTTTGCCACACATAGGACGACCCCTTCTTCAGTTGACAATTCAGAATATCTCATGTAGGGTAGTACTTGGCTCTCAGAACTCGTGCACATAATGTCCGCGAAGGAGAGCCCTGTTAATTTCCTCTGGTTGGACTCCGAAGCCTCAAATTGCCATATACATCTAAAACGTTTCCGCTTTTCTCTTAATTTTGTGAATACCCTACCGTTTTTTAGAAATAACAACTCAATTATTTACTCAAAAGAGTTCGGTATCTCCGCCGATACAACGCTAAGAATAAAATCTAGAGGTACGTGAAATCACACTTTACAAAGTTCATGACTCACACACTCTTTGGCTAACAAAAATGTGCAGCAACATTTGCTGTTCTCCGCACCCATTTTACCTTAGTCTCCTGACGAGTTTGCAACAATGTCTTCACTTCCTCAATGACAGGTCCCAAAGCCGACAAGTTCTTCCCTGGGTTATTCAACAACCACGCCACCCCCTTGTTCTCCGTCTTAATGAGCAGCTTCTAGATATCATCTCGACCGCGAGCTGTTAAAGTTTGCTGTGAGAAGTTGTTTCAACTGCAAAAATTATTTTTATTTATCTCTAGTGTGAAATATATTTTAAGAATTAGAGACCCGGCACCAGGTGTAACTGAAATTAGGTTTGATCAAACGAAAAAAATCAGTCATGTCTGTCAGGCTAACAGATGACCTATCGAGCTAGTTGGAGCACACCAGAGTGCGTTTGTGGGTCGTAGATCCATCCACGATAATTTCATGCTCGTCCAAGGCACGACAAGAAGATTACATGCGCTAAAGAACCCTGCGGTTATGATTAAGTTGGATATCTCCAAAGCTTTCGATATGGTGCAGTGGCTGTTTATTGTGGAATTGAAGCAGATGGGCTTTGGCCCGAGATGGATGGCATGGATCACAGGGCTTCTATCCACCTCATCGACGAGGATTTTGGTAAACGGAGTTCCAGGTGCCCGAATTCACATTTGACAAGGACTTAGGCAGGGTGACCTACTTTCTCCCATGCTCTTCATTCTCATGATGGAACCACTTTGGCACCTTTTCTCTCTTGTGGCATCGCGCGGTCTGCTTGCTCCGCTAGCTCACAATGGCCTAACCTTGAGGATGCCCATCTTTGCAGATGATGTGATGCTGTTTGTCAAGCCGGAAGAGAATGATCTACAACTTTGTGGTCGACTGCTGGATATCTTTGGTGGTGCTCCCGGTTTGCGGGTGAACATGACCAAGACTTCTGCCATGCAGATCAGATATGATGACCTTCAGGTTCAACGGGTCTCCTCAAAGCTACAATGCATGATAGAGACTTTCCCTTGTAGGTACCTAGGGCTGCAGCTAAGCCTACGAAAACTAACTACAACCCAACTACATGACCTAGTGTAGCAGGTGGCTAGAAAGTTGTCGTCTTGGAGAGGGGCGGTGTTGCTTAGAAGTAGCAGGCCGATTCTCGTCAAGTCGGTGCTCTATGCAATTCTAGTTCACGCTATGCTCTCTCTGGACAAACCGCCAAAAACTATCAAGGCCATAATCAAGATTTGTCGAGGTTTCTTTTGGTGCGGCAAGGACGAGGCAAATGGCGGGCAATGCCCAGTTGCTTGGGCATCTGTCTACACACCACGCTGGGCTGGAGGGCTTGGGATCCCAGACCTCCAATGTATAAACTATGCGCTCCAAGCATGGTGTCCATGGCTCAAGCGCACCGATGCATCGCGTTCATGGAGGGAGCTAACAGTCAAAGTGCCAGCTGAAACCAATGGCTAGCGGGGTGTAGGATCCAGGATATCGCGCCAAATCTATACCACCAGATCAAGTCTAGATTTCGCGCTACAAGGACTGTCTAAGGGGCCATTCAGGTTGGGGCTTGGGTCACTGATGTTGGCCCTAATATCTCACCACTCATTCTGCAGGAGTTCCTGGATGTGTGGAATCACAGACTTCCGTTTCAACTAGTGCCGGCAACTCAAGACAACATCAAGTGGGCATAGGAGGACAATGGCAAATACTCGGCGAGCTCAGCCTACACCGCCAAATTCTGGGGCAAAGAGGTTGCTCTATATGCGAAAACCTCATGGAAATCCAAAGCGTCCCATCAATGCAGGTTCCTTTCATGATTTGCAATAAGGAATAGATGTTGGACATCAGATCACTTGGTGAGGCGTGGCCTACCACCAAGCATCGTGTCCACTTTGTGATCAGCATTGAGAGACCATCATATCCTTGTTGGAAATATGCCCTAGAGGCAATAATAAATTAGTTATTATTATATTTGCTTGTTCATGATAATCGTTTATTATCCATGCTATAATTGTATTGATAGGAAACTCAGATACATGTGTGGGTACATAGACAACACCATGTCCCTAGTAAGCCTCTAGTTGACTAGCTCGTTGATCAATAGATGGTTACGATTTCCTGACCATGGACATTGGATGTCGTTGATAACGGGATCACATCATTAGGGAATGATGTGATGGACAAGACCCAATCCTAAGCCTAGCACAAAGATCGTAGTTCGTATGCTAAAGCTTTTCTAATGTCAAGTATCATTTCCTTAGACCATGAGATTGTGCAACTCCCGGATACCGTAGGAATGCTTTGGGTGTACCAAACGTCACAACGTAATTGGGTGGCTATAAAGGTGCACTACAGGTATCTCCGAAAGTGTCTATTGGGTTGGTACGAATCGAGACTGGGATTTGTCACTCCGTGTAAACGGAGAGGTATCTCTGGGCCCACTCGATAGGACATCATCATAATGTGCACAATGTGACCAAGGGGTTGATCACGGGATGATGTGTTATGGAACGAGTAAAGAGACTTGCCGGTAACGAGATTGAACAAGGTATCGGTATACCGATGATCGAATCTCGGGCAAGTACAATACCATTAGACAAAGGGAATTGTATACGGGATCAATTGAGTCCTTGACATCGTGGTTCATCCGATGAGATCATCGTGGAACATGTGGGAGCCAACATGGGTATCCAGATCCCGCTATTGGTTATTGACCGGAGAACGTCTCGGTCATGTCTGCATGATTCCCGCACCCGTAGGGTCTACACACTTAAGGTTCGATGACGCTAGGGTTATAAAGGAAGTTTGTATGTGGTTACCGATTGTTGTTCGGAGTCCCGAATGAGATCCCGGACGTCACGAGG